GCGGCTGACGCCGCGCCGCCCTTCGGCGGCGTTTTAAGTGGTCCGCGCGCGACGCCGCGCCCGGCAAGAACTAACCTTGCGGCAAGTTGGAAGTTGCGGAGAGTTCTTGCCAACATCATTGCGGGGCGCCAGTGTTTCTCTTGCATCCATGCCGTGGCACACTGATTTTTCGCTTCGCCACATCTTGGTTGGTTCACTCTGAGGCTCCCACACAACAGTCTCCGACAGTTTCTGGACCAGAAGCGCGCTTGTGGGAAGCGCTACAGAATCTGCACTTTGTCTTGCTACCATCGCTCTCAGTCCGCACTCTGCATCACTCATCTTCTCCAGGCCTACTACAGGCTGACGCACCCTCAGCTCGGTCCTGGGCCCTAAATCGGACGTGCTTCTTCTTTCTCACATCTTTAGCAGATTGCAAACCGCATGTGGAAAACATAGAAGAAAAAACCTGCTGCCAGTTGCCATGTACGTTTCCGCAGTGACAAGACCTTCAATGCACAGGCTTTCAAGTGTTTGTAAAGCTCAGTTTTAAGTTGCATATTGTTTGCAGTGGTGTTTGCGTCCTAGATTCCAGTGTTCCGCTTCCATGTTGTCAACTCTAATTGCTGCGCTTTGCATGGAAAAGCTGAAAGGACGCGCTGCATCCGTGGTGCTGGACCAGTGTAAATCCATTTGAACTCTTGGGTTCGAATTTACCCGAGATCGAAGTTCCACTATGAAGAATAGTGGATTTTAGCTTATTCATACTTTTGCTTGATTGAGAAGGAGCTGATTCTTTTATTGGTTCCAGATTTGCATGCAACGCGGTTTGCATGACTTGCAACAATATCGGATTGCATTTGTTGCCATTTAAAATCCTTCAGCCACAATGAGGCACCTTCAGTCCCACCCAGTGGACCCTGACATGGTCCTTTTTAGACAGGGTCCTTTTTTTTTGGGAGGTCTTCCGTCAGACAAAGTTTTTCTGTTGCACTGGGTCTTCTGGTAAACAAGGGGTTCAAAGTTTTCGTTAGAAATGGCTTGGCTTGGCTCGGCTTGGTTTGGCTGTTTGGCACGGCTTCTACATGCAGTTTTTTTACAGTGAAAGCTTGAAAACGTTACGATTGTTGAACATACTGCAGTGACACATGTACATATTCATATGCTTATACATCCACATGTACATATACATGTACACATATAGTGCAGTGGCTATATGAGCGTGCGCAACACCTCGTATGTTCGGAATTTGGAGCATGTCGCTTTGATGACAAGTTCATTGCTGTCGTTTTTTCTCATTTTCCCCACGCTTTGTGCAGGAGACTCGCATCGCAAAACCGAAGCTCTTGAGGTACGGTTTGGAGATTCTAAGACAAAACCGTTGACTGCGGAGAGTAGAAGAAGGCCGTGAAATTCCGGCTAAAAAGAAACTATTCGGCGCAAAAAAGCGCGGGAAGAGCCCAACCGCCGCCCGAAGCCCACCAAGTCAAAATGCCTCGTACAAGCACAAGAAAGCTGTCTTTTGGCTTGAAATTCACAGTAAGAAATGAGTGCTCTCGTGTGAATCGAGCGCGCGCGAACCTCAAAAGGTCTCCGTTTGGGTTTCTTAAGGGTGCGAGAAAACCGAACATGTTCCACAGGCAACCGACTTACAAAACCTGAAGAGCAGTTCGGATTTTGTGCACTGTGCTCCACAACCCCTCATGCACGATGTGGCTTGCACGTGCCTTGCGGGTATTTTTTTGATGTTTTAGGATGGACCACAATTGCAACATCTCTGGTCTCTGCATTGCTTGTGTGTTGGGTTTCGCGGTTTGTGCGGATGAGGAGCCTCCAGAGTCCCTTGTTTCAACCTTCATTTTAAATGTGCACCATAAAGGGCCTCCCCAGCGCAGGCAAACGCTTCGCGGCAAAAGTCAGCACACGGGTTGTGGTCAGCGTTAGGCTGCTCACCTTGCACATCTATTGCTCTTCGACGCAGGTCTTGGTATTTGGTATTTGTGGGCTTGTATTTTCAACGAGTTACTTCGCGCAGGATGCTGGACTTTGCCTCAGTTTTTGGTCAAGCTTCGGTGACAACCTTCAGCAGCAAGCACCCTGTCCGCCCCTCAGACTGAGACAGAGCATGGAGAGCGAGTCTCGTGCATGAGCGCATGCAGCTCTTGCTGTGTGACTCGGACCTGCAGCAAAACAGTGGTGACAGTGAGGTGCAGCGTTGCTGGGCCAGTGCCTGGTGGCGTGGAATCTACAGCCAGATGAAGAGGTTGACCTCAAAATACGTGCATGCTCTGTGTCTGCATGTGTACACTGCTCCGGAAGCAAGATCAGCTCAGCAGCTTCGAAGCATCACCGAGTACGGTCTAAGTGCGGCTGGTCGCAGGCATTTGCTGAATCTCAAGCCATCCCTGTACACTTTCTTTGCACGTAGTGACCGTGGAGAGGTTGTCTCAAGGTACAATGTAAAGACACGCCGTCTTGGTTTCGGGATTCCTTCCTGGAACCTTGGGTTTGCCACCCCGCCTTGTGGTTGCGTATCGAGACAATTCTAGTCCTTGAAAACGGTTGAGTCCAGTTCTGAGCGGTCAGATCGGTAGTTGATGCATAGAGAAGCATGGCGGAGCAAGTCTTTCAGCTGGACATTGAGTGCCACGAGGGTGAGCGCAGCAACCGGATCTGGGTGCCCATTGGCGGCCACGAGCCGGTGCGACGGCTGCTGGAGAAGGTCCGAGAGCGAAGCGAGATGGACTTGACGACGTTGTACACGCTCCGTGATGGCCTCAAGGCCTTGCTGGACCTCGACGACACCCTGCACTTGGTGCTGGATTCTGGGGAAAACAGGCTTAGAGCAGAGGCCGCCCCGAACACAGGTAACGTCACCGCCGCAGGCATGGCAATCAAACAGTCGAGCAGCGCAGAGGGGCCTGAGCCAAGCCCTGGCGATGCCCCGAAAAACGAGGAAGAGGAGCTGGAGCCAGAGTTTTCAGAGGAAGAGTCCTGCGAAGCGGTTGAGGGTGCAAAGCGCAAGCTAGACCGGTCGGGCTGGTCTTCGACGCCTGTGGAAGTGGGCTGTCCAAGGCTTGTGAAGCCGAGGACTTTTTGTCTTGAAGCATCCTCTGACCGCGAGTCTTCGGAAAATGCCAGGCTGCAGCAGGAGGAAAACAAACCAGCTCCCACAGCAATAGAGGTGGAGTCAGCCGATGAAGAGGAGAATAAGATAAGCGCGGAGGGCTGTTCCGCAGTCACGGACGACCTCCCGAGCCGACATGGCGAGGTTTGGAGCCCTTCAACTTCGTCCAACTGGCAAGATTGGGGCAGCTGGCAGTCTTGGGATCACGCAAGGGATTCTCAGGATGCCTGGTGGGAAGACCCAGCGGCCGCTGGCTCCTGGGCGCTGCAGGAGCTCCGTGCGATTTCAAGGAGGCTGATCGGAGCCCAGGAGGCGCTGGATTACGAACGTTTTCACCGGGAAGAGAAGCACGACCTCGTGGAGGAGACTTTAGAAGCGGCCGAGAAGGCCCTGAAGGCTGAACGGGGCCGGAACCGGATGCTGGAAGATCACAGCAAGATCCTGCAAGACGAGCTCTCCATCTTCAAGGAGAAGCTGGGAAAAGCCGCAGAAGCTCTGGAGTCAGAGCGCAGAGAGCATAAGACGCTGCAGGAGAAGCTCTCTCTCATGGAAGAGAAGATGAACACCGCTGATGCTGTGATGGAGCATGAACGCAGCCAGATTGAGTTCCTGCAGGAGAAGCATGCTACCATGGAGCGGGAGTTGAACGCAACCCAGAACACTTTGGAGGTTGAGCGCCTCGCTCACAAGCTCGTCAGGTCTGAGCGACGGACGGCTAAGGAGAAGATCCAGGAGCTTGAGGCCAGATCCAAGAAAGGACATCGCAAAAGGGATGAAACTTGTTTAACCGGGTTGCAGGGTTCAAAACCCTAAACCCTCAACCCCTAGACCCCTAACCCCCTAAACCCCTAAACCCTCAACCCCGAACCCCCTAAGCCCCTAAGCCCCTCAACCCCTAACCCCTCAACCCCTAAGCCCCTAAACCCCTAAACCCTCAAGCTGCAAGCCTGGCTTTAGCTCCCTGCCTTGAGGCCGAAGTGCTTTCGGAGCGGACGAGACGGTCGGCTGCAGAGGAGCAGCTGTTGAAGCTGCAGACGCAGCCTCTCGGTTCTGCATTTCAAGAGCTTGCTGCTTCGGATAGGCATCACGACATCCTTGATCGGAGGGAGGTTCGGATTTCCCGAGAACTTTTCACCGATCATGGGCCCGGATGTGCATCACTCGCCGCAGAACGGGGCATGTGTGTGGTGCTTGGGGGCTTAGGAAACGCTGTTGAGGCTCGTTTGGGGTTTAGCTTCCAGAGTTCAAGTTCAGGCTTCAGTTCTTACAGTTGCTTCCGTTTCCGGTCGGTGGATCAGTACATACAGCGACTGCAGACATCTCAGTTACCGTGATTGCTCGTGCTTCGATGTTTTCCTTCTTGTTTGTGGGGGGTTCGCCTCTTAGGAATGCCGCCTCCTGCGGCTAGACTTTTGCAGTTGCAGTTTCGACGGGCGATCTTCGCCACTGTTGCTGGAAAGTTTGTTGTCGGTGCTGAAGTACTCTGAAGTACACAGCTGTACTGGAGAGCTTAAAACTGTAAGCCCCTAAAATCCCAAAGAAAAGTGGGCAGCCTCCGACGCTTAGGGTTGGGTTTTGGAAATGACGACAGCAAGGCCGAACTTTGACTTCAGATGCGTGTAGCAAGTCCTCGGCGAGACCGGATTGTTGATGCAACAGTTTAAAATGCACGGGGCGCGAATGAAGCAGTCGCACGGAACATGGAAGTTTTCAGGTAACGTGAGCCCGCCTATGATAAACATTTTACGGGCATGTGCATCCCTCGAGCACGAGTTTGCAAGCTGACCTCAGGAAGAGCTCTGCGAGTCTCGGTGCTTCCTGGCAGTATGAGCTGGATGGCAGCTGGTACGCCTTCCCACCGGAAGGCAACCAGCAGATGAATCAGGCTTATGTGGCCTTCACGTCTGGTGAGCAGGCGCATCATGGCGCAACCATCGTGGTTGGCAGCGTTGGGCGCATCATCGATTTTGCACGGATGACCCAGCAGAATGCTGTTACAAAGAAGGTGCGCAACATCCGCATTTGCACTGGGGTGCCTGCCCAGTGGGCAAGCCCTGCATCAGCTCTGCTGACGCAGAACGACAGTTTGGCATCCTTCTATGTTGAGGTGGAAGATCCTCAGATTTTTCAGCAGGTGTCTCAAATTCTGCAGGACTCGGGCCATACATGGGATGTATCGAGCCCCTGCTCCTGCATCAAGACCGCCACAGTCAAGTCTATCCACCGAACCTCGCTGTATAAGTGGGCAAGAATGGTTCTTAATTAGGTAATATTATTAGGGGTACCCCTTGAAGGGTACCCCTTCTGAACCCTACTTTTGGCTCTCTTAAAAGGGACCTTATTGAGAGGGTCTATATCCCCAAGGGTCCCCCTAATCCTAGCTCCCATTAATCTTGTGTCATACTCAAGGTGACCCTGCACCCCTCAAGTTTATGAGAAACTTTCGACGTGTGCCGGACGCTTTTGCGGGATTTGCGGGAATTGATTGTAGAGCAATACAGGGAAGCTGACCTCAAGCTTCAAGAACATAAAGACAAAGCTTTCTATCTGCAAGAGCTAATTATTCTTGCTTGCCCGGGGGGGGACCGTGGCAGGACGGGTTCATTGTGCCATACTTTTGATTTGGGAACGTTTCGAACAGCTAGAGCTTCATCAAAAGCCATGTATCCTGATGAGACTTGACTAAGGAATCGAGAACTTTCGCCTCTGGCATCGGTACCAAGCCCGGCTTCAAGCCATGAGGGAGGACCATGCCAAGTGCAAGGTGCGCGTCCCAGGCGTGGGCTGCACAGCTCAGCGCTTTTCAAAACAAGGGGGTTGGGCGAGACTAAAGACATTAAATACATGAAGCAGGTGCTGCCACCGGCCAAAAGCCAACTCTCGTAGGCCAAATGTCTCGTATGCGTTCAGATGTTTCAGCATTTACGAGGAGCGTGTAGCATCAAAATGACAGATCATAACAGGTGCGGCGCTGGATCTCGATGGCCGCAGCAAGGTGATGAGTGAAAGTCAAGGTGTTCTGGACTGCGGTGAGCCCCTGGCCAGTGACGTGGATGAGAAGATCTTGCTACATGGCACCTCCTATACCAATGCTGATGCAATCGTCACTGAAGGCTTTGATCACAGGACCTGCCATCGCGGCCTCTACGGGGACGGAGTCTACTTTGCAGGTGCATGGTGCAAGATCCATCAATACACTTGCTCACTTCACTCCGGCAAAGCATGCCGCTGCAAGCAGGACGCATGCCTGCTCAGAGCCCGAGGTTTAAGATTGTGCCTTTGTGTTGCAAGCAGGTGTCACACGCCTAGATGTTCATACGGAGGGGCTTGTGAGAGACCATTTGTGAATATTTGTGAGACCTTAAGGAGAGGACCTTGATCATCGCGCGTGTGGCGCTCGGTGATCCATACTATGCCCCGGCAACCCTGAAGGGTAACAGAAGGCCTCCGAACAGAGCCCTTTCGACAGGCACGCACGGCTCTGTTGTGGTCAATCCGGGACAAATCCATGGACATCACAACTCCCACCAAGCTCACCAAGAGTTTGTGATCTTCGATCGCGAGCAAGCGTATCCATGCTTCGTTGTCCAGTATGTGCTCTGACAGACACTGGCATGCCCAGCGTGACTGACTGCATGCACTTCGCAAGATGATATCCAGGCACAGGGATTCTTGAGCTTGCAGCGGGCCGGATGTTAGCATTCGTGAAAACAGCCGGTGTGGGGCTGAAGAAGATGTCTTTCCGCGTATGGTGTTGGGGGAAGTCAGAACACGGACCCTAAACCCTAAACCCTAATCCCTAAACCCTAAACCCTAAACCGTGAATCCCTAAACCCTAAACCCTAAAGCCTAAACCCTAATCCCCTGGCATTTGCCTCAACCCCGGCTTCGTGGTATTCTCGGTCGGGCTTGGGCCATTGGGGCTGCGTCACGAAGGGATCTACACTGAAAATGATTTGCGGGGGCTGTTCTCTTCGTGGAGGCTGTGGAAGTGCAGAACCCTAAACCCTAAACCCCCACCTTAACCTACCAAAACCTACAATTTTGTAGGGTCCTGGTAAATTCCATATTAGGGTTTATAGTAAGAACCTACAGAAAAGTAGGGTTTGGTAGGTTAAGGTAAACCCTAAAGGCTTTTTTTGCTAGCTTCGGGTTCAGGGTTTGGGGTTTAGGGTTTCAACTGGAATAGAATTCAGGGTTTAGGGTTTTACAGTTTGCTCAGGGCTTTGATTCACAATGTTTTTTTAAAAAGGCGGCTGCAGTTTGTAGAGTTTTGAGGGCAGGTCCTTTTCACCTGTGCGAGTTCTTCGGCAGAAGTTTGGTGCTGTCTGCATACTTAAAGGATCATGGGACTTGGTAAGTAGGGTTATAACTAAGGTAACTATACTTATAACCCCCAATTAGGGAACTTATAACTTTACTTACTAAGTCCCATGATCCTCCAAGTACTGTCGCGTGTACTCTGTCTGCCATGGCAGAACGGGTCCGGATGGACACTCAGGATGTACTTTGAAGGCTCATGGGTGGTCCTAAGCACCTACAGACACGTATGCAAGCCTGCAGAAGTCTAAAGTAAGGGCCTTAATACTTAGAATAGGGCTTAGGGAGTTCCTTATTATAATTATAATATCATATACCTTTATTGGGGTTCCTTATAATAATATACCCCAAACCCTCTTCTAATTATTCAGGCCCCTATAATAGGCCTTCACCTGCTTATAGAAGCTGTCAGAGACCTACCAAAACCTGGAAAGGCCCTGGCCTGGCTTTCCGGTCTGTGATTGTGGATGAGTGCGCTCAGGCATGCTGGGGGCGTCAGGATGTAGGGCGTTTAGGGTTTAGGCACAACCTAAGGTCACTGTTAAGTTGCCATAAAGGGCTGCGGTAAGGTTACTATGAGCTCATAAAAGTTTTACCACAGGGTTTGGAGCACAGGCTTGAGGGTTTCGGGTGCTGGATTTGGGGTGAAGGGGTCATCCGAACACATGACCTGCACCTCTAAAGTTTGTCATGTCTGCTCTTGTTTCGTGGGTTTTGCTCGGGTGCCTCACTGTCGTCCCAGGCCCTCTCAAGTACTTAAACCCTCAACACCAGAGTGGACCGCCTCCTGAACTGCTCAACGACACTGCGCCCTCCCATTTGTTCAAAGCGAGAAGAAGCAAGGTAGACATTCATAAGTACAGGAGTAGTTGTCTAAATTAGGGTCCCTTTTGGGGGTCCCTTTTGTAAGGGTGCCGTACTATGTTGGGGATTTAAAAAGGCAGCCCCAATTTAGAGAACTACCCATAAGTACATGTTCAGAGAATCATCTGCATGAAGCTCGGTATGCAAAGGGGCACTTCTTAGCTCTTCCTCCTGCGTGACTTCGGTATCTACCATCTAGGACATGTGCGGGTGGGTAGTTACCGTTATAGGAGCCTTATAGAAGGTCTACGTACCTTATAGAAACCCTATAGGAGCCATATATACCCTAAACCCTAAACCCCTAAACCCTAAACCCCATAACCCCTAAACCCTAAACCCTAAACCCCATAACCCCTAAACCCTAAACCCTAAACCCCTATATACCCTAAGCCCCCCACCTGTCAGCTTTCTTTAAAAATGGAAGCGCCTTTGAAGCGCCCGCGTTTCTCCTTGCAGAGCGACGTCGAGGTCGAGGCGGGAATTTCGGAAAGCTAGGGTACCTTACTTTGGGGTTTAGGGTTTAGGGTTTACGGCTTAGGTTTTAGGGTTTAGGGTTTAGGGTTCAGGGTTTAGGGTTTGGGGTTCAGGGTTTAGTTTGGGGTTTAGGGTTTAGTTTGGGGTTTAGGGTTTAGGGTTAGGGTTTGGGGTTTAGGGCCTTATAATAAGGATCCTACTAAGTTGGGGTCCGATATCAGGGTGCCTGATTTTCCGAAACTCCCAGGTGGCCAATGGAGAAACCGTCCTGGTTCACTCCTATGTTCTCATGTCTGCCTCGGAGGTTTTCACCAGGATGTTGCAATCAGAGGTCTTTCTGGAGGCACAGACTGGCCGCATCGTGTTGAAGGACAAGACTCGCGAGGAGATCCAAGAGGTCTTAAAGCATCTGGACCTGCGGAATGGAGCTGAACCACCGCCTGTGACCGACCAGAATGTAGAGTTGCTGGTGCGGTTTGCCGATGAGTATCAGGTCACTGGATTGCGAGAGCGTTGCATTTCTGCAATGAAAGTGCTTGCGAAGCAGAAGATGATCCGCTATTTGAAGTTGGCAATCAAGTACAACATGCCAGATATCGTTGAGCTGTGCGTTCAACACTTGGTCGAGCTGCAGTGCGATGAAGGCGAAAGACAAAGACAAAGAAATCCTCTATTCGGGTTTATGTCCAGCCACACTCACGCGCCCACGAGAGCGGATCGGGCAGGGGCAGCTTTGAGAGAGAAAGCCAAGGATACCTTGCTGGGCCTGGAAGACAACCCAGCTGTGAGGAGTGCAGTGTACCGGGAGGTCTACAAGATGATAGTAGAAGATCAGGCTGAGAACGTGCGGAGTGTTCGTGAGGAAGAAACATCGGTGCCTTGCTCCAGACATTGGAAGACGCTGGTGACCATGTTGCTTGCGATGAGGATAGAATGCCCAAAGGGAAAAGTTGTGCAGGACGAAATGCCACATGGATGGATGGCCGCTTTTTGGCCCTTGTTGAGCATGGCTGTCGCAGACTTTGAAACAATCAGAGATGCAGAGTACAAGGACGTGCTGACCAAGCCGGAAAATTTTGTACAGGTGGATCAGGAAGGTGAAGAAGAGGAGGAAAACGCTGAGGATGAGGAGGTTAATCCATCATAACTAAGCGTGGCAGAAACGCCATAGACACCAAACCCTAAACCCTGAACCCTAAACCCTAAACCCTAAACCCTGAACCCTAAACCCTAAACCCTAAACCCTGAACCCTACACCCTAAACCCTCAACCCTTCACCCTAAACCCTAAACCCAGACCCTAACTTGATTCGGGCCAAACCGGAGCCAAAGCAAGTGCTGGGCAAAAATGCGTTTGCAGAATCGGTCAGGGGGGGAGATGACTTCGGGCTTTGGTGCAAAGGGGATTGGGTTTAGGGTTTCAGGGTTTAGGCTTTAGGGTTTGGGTTTAGGGTTTAGGGTTTTAGGGTTTAGGTTTCAGGGTTAGGGNNGTTCAGGGTTTAGGGTGTAGGGTGTGCCTGAAGCGTCCAACCATGTTGTTCCGCACTTGGTGTCTTTTTGCAAAGCACCTCTCCATTCTCATGACTTCATGGCTTCTTGGGAGAAGGCCTCCTAATCGCAGAGGCATGCACTATCATGTTCGGCTTTCTCATGTCATGGCTTTGCTTTCGACTGGGCCCCACCTTTGGTGGCACGGTCGCGCGTATAGGCGAAGACGCCCACGTGACAGCACACGGGTCACCTAAACCCGAAACCCTAAACCC